GTTTGCGTCAGCAAGTTTGCAAAGAATGCAACTTGGTTTCCACTTTCAATAAAACCGCCGCCTCGTAAAGTTACACAAATTTCACCTCAAATTCATACGCCACTTTGACAATGTCCTTTGCCAGTGGTGGTTGGTAGAACCAAACCCACAGTAAAATCATATTGAAATTTCTTACCTGAAATCAGAAAGCAATTTCTTTGTACAGGGCCACAGCAGTCTACCGTACTTTTTTCAAGGGTTATGTCCTTGGGTGTCTTAAAGTAAATAATGCGATGCACGTATAGTGGTGCTCAAGCTAGAGGTGGCAAAACTACAAGCAAACACCGCACAGCAAGGTGATCAAAACGTTAAGAATATCACTAGGAAACATGACGCAAGAAGACCACCTAACATAATACGCTCGCTATGTAAAAATAAATCGAGTTCAATTTTTGAACATACGAGTTATGTAACGTATAAACACATAAGACCTACATCATCATAGTGATGATCAAGTTATCTCGCTACTGGAGACAGGGACTGGGGACTGCTGCTTGCCATGGCAGACAGCCGAGCGTTGCTTCACCTGACGCAGGGCCTCCTAGAGGTGCTGCAGGAAGATGAGCAGCAACAGCAATGGCGTAACACCGTGGCGGCGCTTTCCATGGGAATGCCCGGGCCAGCAGCCATGATGGGAATGCCACCCGGCATGGGCGTGATGATGGGGATGGCAGCTAGCATGGGAACTCGTCCAATGCGTCCGATGGTGATGGAGCGGCCGCCTCCTTCAATGTTTCCCTCTGGACCTCAGCAAATGATTGCTGGCCCGGGCCCACTGATGTTTCCAATGGCTCCGCCAATGACAAGACCTGGAGCGACCGCGACACCTAAAGTGGAGGAGCCCCCGGACAGTCCCCACCCTCCTGGCCCTGCTGGACAAGTCAGCACTTGTCCTGGGCCTGCAACGGCGCCTGCTGTCAAAGCTGCCTCTCCAGCAACCTCCCCCCAAAGCGCCGGCCCAGCTGCGGGCCCAAGCACCACGACTGAAGACGCGCCTAGTGACGTGGGCGCAAGCTTGGCTGCTGAGAGTGCAAGGTCAAGCCCTCCGCCTATCCGTGTTGCACGGTATGCCGCGAAAAGCTGTCCTACATCCACCTCCACACCTGGTCTTGCGCCAACTGCCGTCAAGGCTTCTGCGCCGAAAGCCCCCTCTCCTGGAGCTGAAACCGGAGGCGCGTGATTTTTTCTCCCTTGATTTGTGATTACTTTCATCGTTTTCTTGGGCGCCGCCAGCTCACGACAGGACCCAGCTCAACACCACGCAGAAGCCGCAGCAGGCGCCGCCGACGGGATGATGGTGCTCAATATGACCGCGATGAAAAACCTCGACGTCGTGGAAGCAAGGGTCAGAAGCGTCAGACTTGGTATGCAGAGCGCTTCCCAAACGAGGTGCCGCCCAGACGTCCCAGAAGTCGCTTGACAAGGATTTAAAAAAGGAACTTGCCAGGAATTCAAAGCAAGAACCCTTAAATATAAGTTTCAAAAGCCACGTTGACTGACTGAGGCCCTCCTGGAGGTCCACCTGGGTCTGAGAGTTCCGCCGCGTCTGCTGCCTGCCGCTGACTGAGAGGCGCCGAAGACCCTGCTGCCTGCCGCTGATCGACTGAGAAGCACCGACGACCAGCTAGACCGGACTGAGATTTTTTGAGAAAATAGACACGACAATGCGCCCGGGTTCGAAATCATTGTTGTCTGTAGTTGCAGGAAGCCTTAAGTGGCTCCTTCTGGAGGACGCCTTCGCAATGGCTCCTAGTCGCAGGAAGCCTTAAGTGGCTCCTTTTGGAGGACGTCTTCACAATAATTGCAGGAAGCCTTAAGTGGCTCCTACACACATTCACACACGACACATGTTTGCAGGACGTTTTTTGAGAACTCCTTTCTGAAATTTGCACAGCAAAGTCGGGGCCAGGGTAAGAATGTCAAGCGATAGGTGGAATGCATGTTTGAGCGCAAAGAACTTCATACTGTTCTAAGACTCTAAGAAAAGTCCAATTGATGTGGCATCCAGCGCTGCTCTGGCTAAGTGCTAGGCGCCAGCACTGTCACTGCCCGCCCAAAGCCATCTCCCTGCCCATTGAAGTCGAGCGCGTGAAGCTTGAAGTGGAGATGGGAGAAGAGGGTGAGATAGAGACAAAGGTTGAGCCAGACAGCCAAGAAGAAGCCAAAGTTACTGTGTCTGTGCGCACCACTTGTGCTGGAATCACAGACCGAAGTGTCCTGAGACAGAAACTGATGCATCTCGTTGACTTCTACTTGGAGAAATTTGGTGGGCCAGTGCAATTTCTGCAAAACACCTTTGACACGCCAGAAGCCTTCGAGGATTTTCGTAAAGAGCTGTTCAAGCTGTGCCCTTGGATGGATTGCATGGATTACGTCCACCCTGGAGCTCTTGCTGGGCGGGAGAAGTCCCTGGTGCACATCACCATGCTGGACTGGGACCCTCAAAGAAGCACTAAGGGGCTGCCGTTTCGGAAAGTTGCCCGTGACTTGGCTGAAGAGTACATGGTTCACGGCTTCTTGACTGAAGTGGAGCCTCTCTTGTTGTGGACCACAGCGGAGCAGCGACAACATTCGCAGCATACATTCAGACCAAACTTTGTCAAGGGCATGGCGCGCAGTTCGACATGTTTGATGCTCGTGGCCATCCTTGTGGAAGAACAAGTTGATGTAGCTACAATGTTTCCAGAGCTTTACCACAGCTTGCATCAAATCCACGCTGTCTTCGAATCCCACACTGACCTGGGTTCGGTCGCGATAGCCAACGCGCACCACTCGAACCGAGGTGCGCTGAGGGCACCTCATGACATCATCACCTGGGTGATGAAGCTGAGGAAACTGGAAGGAAGTTTCCAACCCACCGCTATCCTGGAGAGGTTCAATAGCAGCGCTACCCAAAGGGGCAAGATCACAAGCAACAAGCGTGTGTCAGCCCTTGCGTTGTTACAGGCCCCTTGCAGAGAGGGTCTTGACAAGATGATCGAGCTTTTGTCTGAGGTGGGGTCCAAGCAGGTTTGGTGGAACGAAGATACTTTCTGCAACAAGAAGCTCATGCCAGGTTATGTGGCACGTTGCAAGGGCAAATGGAATGGCATTCTGAATGTCACGGAAGACTCTTTTGCAATTTGGACCGAATCTTTGAACAGGCAGCAGCTGCTCAAGGGCGCCAAAGCGCGACGGCCTCTTGACAAATCCAGGTTGGAAGAGCACAGCGCCCTGTCGGCCTTCTTTGTTTGGGCTGCGCAGCAAGCGCTGGACCAAGCTGTTGACAAAGATGAACTGACCAAGCTTGGTGAAAGGTTCATGGATGGAGACATTGCGCTTCAATTGGACCTCCAGACTTTGCTCCATGAACGTAAGAACGATATTGATTTCAAGGACGTGAGACTCGGACGGAAATTTCCATCTTCTTGGATTCCTTGTACTTTCTTGAACCTCATACTTTTTCTTGTCTATGTCCATTGCTCATTAGTCAAGGAAGGCCTTGAGGGAGCTACATCAGAAGAAGGTGACTTGTACTGATTTGGCATTGGTTGGGCAAGCTCGCACAGAGATTGAAGCCAGCAAATTCGAAGAGATGGAATGGAACCTCTTCAAGGAGAAATTGAAAAGCGACGTCCAGGCCATGCTGGTGTTTCGCAGCAAGTTGGATTGCCACGACACCTTGGTTTACCACGCCAAGCTGGAGCACATCCGCAAAAGACGATTGCAAGGCCGAGATGCTGTGGAAGACCTCTTCAAAGGACCGGTGGCAAAGTTTTCCTTCGTCACTGGGTGTGATCAAGTGCTGAACGGTCTGCTGCAGTTGAAGAAGGAGTATCGCGCTGAAGCTTTGCTCGTCCTTGTGGTGGTCAATTGGGCCAGCCCATCCACTGTGAGAGATGAGCAGATGTGTCTCCAGGTGCAGATCCTACAGCAGGTGCTTGGCCAGGACGACTTCGAGCCCATGGGCCTTGTGGTGATGCCCGTGTGGGAGCGGGCAAAAGGATCGCTCTACAAGACAGAAACACTGCTCTTGAAATCTTTGGCAGAGAAAGACATGAATTTAGATGAGAAGGGCAGCCTTTCGTTCGAGGAGATTCCTTTTTAATTTTTAATCTGTTTTGATCACCCCATTCCTTTTCTCGGCCGTTGTCAAGTGGATCACCAGTAATAGATTTCAAGCCAGGAGCGCGCTGACCCCAGAGATCGTCGGCCATTAGAGTACCCACTCCGGTTGGCTTTTCCCATGAAGACAGAAGCTACTAAGAACACATCCCCTTGGCAGCGCTGCTACCTGTACATGAACAACCGCACCAACATCCGAGCCACCATGTTGCAAAGCAAAGACATGCGTCTCCCAGAGTTTGATGAAGACTTGCCCCATTCTGACATGGACCAGCGTGTGTCCCCAGCAGAAAAGTATTCTCAGTTAGGAGAATCCGCTGCTGCAGCGCTCATTTCCTCCACAGTGACGACTTTGCCTGCCGGTCATCCTTGCTGTGTGGTCGTTGACACCAGCCCGAAAACGGGCGAGTTCGCACGCACAATTCTGCGTGCGCCTGCCTCATCGACTGCTTTGCACTACATCGCTGTGGGTTTGGAGAGTCAGCTGGAATGGTGTCAGCAAGACCTGAAAGATTTTGCACTGGATTTGTATCTTGCCCGCGCTCTGAAGATCAAAAACTTCGAGCCCTTGCCCGACACTTTGTCTGCGGATGAGACACCGGACCTGGTGCTGCCGAAGCTTAATGTAGGTGTGTTGTTGATGGCACAAACCTCGTTGTCGCCCCAGACGTGTGCGACAAATGGGCTAGCAGCAGCTTCAAAGACGACTGGAAAGCTCTCCAGGAAGAGATGAACCAGTTGCTTCCGCCAAAAGAATCCACGGCCTCTCCAAACACCAAGCGTCAGCGAGTGGAAGTGGCTGAGCGGGTGACGCCAGAGGATTCTCCTTCGGTGGCTTTGAAACCTGTGACCGAGCTGGACGCTACGAAGATGATGCTTCAAGCAAATGGCATCGGGAAACTGAAGGGTGTTACGTTCCAGTTGTATCCCGCCAATGTCATGGTTCTGTTGAATTCTACAGCCAGCGATGTGGCTTTGACTGGCCAGCTGACTGGGTGGAACAAGGGACGCTGGTGGCAGCCGAAGGAGGCAGAAGAGCAATTCGATCCTTCTGTGGACTTGATCTGGCAGTTTAGCCAAAGCAGTGAGATGGTTGTGATGGATGGTACGGCCTTGTCCTTGTACCAAGTCATGGAGGAAACCAAGCGGCAAAAACCTGAAAAGGCCGTCCTCCGCTACCATGTCATGAAGGACAAGGTGCATGGCGGCTGTGGGCCCGGGGATTTTGACATTGAGTGCAAACACCCTGTTGCTTGGAGGGCCGAAAGGGCCGTCGTGGAAGGTGACAGCAAAAAGCAGAATCCCGGCGCATTGGCATCACTGATCCCTGCAGATGTGTGGAACCTGAATGTGGTGCAGATCGTGTGGGCCGCGCGTTGGGCCAAACAGGGCTTGTGCGGAATAAAGCCGATGATCTGGCTCAAGGGAAATGTGGTAATCCCACCGCAGCACTTTGTCCAGCTGACCGCCCACAGCGACTGAGCACTTTTGAGCATGGCTGCGTCATTTTGCGTGTAAAATGTAGGGAGTCAGCTGTGAAACGTGCCGCAGAAAGCCAAGAAGGTGTCTCTGCGTGGTCTTGATCAGAAACACTTGATCGGAAGAGATTCCAAAAAAGAACTTTTTTCTGCAGCCTGCAGACTTGAGCTCCAATCTGCGTCAGCATACCTTGCTTCTCTACACCCCGTTTTAAATTGCAGGATGCCTTGGGCTCCTTCACGAACTGCAGGATGCCTTGCGCTCCTTCACAGATTGCAGGATGCCTTGCGCTCCTTCACGGATTGCGGGATGCCTTGAGCTCCTACTTTTACATCAGTCAATGTTTCTCTGTTGGCAGTTTTGGGCTCATCATTGACACGACGATGATGTCCGGGCCACGGGCGGATCTTCCCCGTACACATGAAAGTCGGATGGGCCACTCATAAGCAATTGAACGGTGCAATGTTTCAATGGTTGTGTTACGTTGTTGTTTTTCGGCAAGGATTGGCATGGCCGGCTGGCATTCCTGACCTGACGAAGTACCATTACAAAGTGGAATCACACTTTCTGGTGGAATCCGCCTGGCAAAGTGTCGGGGACACCGATGATCCAAGAGCAGAAGCTGTGCTGCTGTGGCTCGCCAATAGCGAGGTGCACCTTTGCAAGGACAAGGTCATCCTTTACGGCGACAGCGACATCTACCATGTGAGCCAGTATTCGGTCTACACTGTGAATGACACCTAGGAAGCCTGCGTTAACGCATATGGTGTGTGGGAAGGCGAAGATGTGGTTATTTATTTCCAGCTCGTCAAGGATGGCGAGGCTCAGTGAGGGTAGCTGTGCCCTGTCCAATAGCCATGACCCCCTGGAGCCTTATGAAATGCTGCTAGTGCGACATGCGCAAAAGTCACAAAGCTGCTTAGCGACCACATTATTGGGTAGTAAGCTCAGTGTTCTGTAGCGCCGTTTTACTTCAGTTGGAAAGAGGCCAACCAGTTTGCAATTTGCCAAGCGCTGGCTCTATAGACTCATAGTGACGTTTCACGGCTCTCAGACGTAGAAATGCGCGCATGTATACCAAACATCACAGCGCAAGAGTGGCCAGACCATACAAAACAATTTTTGCGGCCAAAGCAGATGTCACACATAGGGTGCCATGGTGTTTTGTGACAGGATTGCCTTTGCTCCTTGATTTTAGGATGCATTGGCTCCTTTGATCTGAGAGTCGGCTTCCATTAATTCATT